TGAAATTCTGTTTACTTTGTATAAAAAATTGAATGTGGTATATTTAGGGCTTTATAGTATAAATTTTGTTTAAAACTATTTTTTTTAATAAAAAATTGAAATGTTGTATATGTAGGGCTTGCATGTTTTTGGTAGTTATAAATTTTTGTTTGAAACTGTTTCTTTTGTATAAAAAATTAAATGTGGTATATTTAGGGCTTGAATGTTATTTGTAGTTGTAAATTTTGTTTGAAAATGTTTTTTTTTATATTAAAAAATTAATTTAGGGCTAGGGCTTGAATGTTATTGATAGATGTAAATTTTTGTTTGAAAGTTGTTTTTTTTTTTTTTGTATTAAAAATTGAATGTGGTATATTTAGGGCTTGAATGTTATTGATGTAAATTTTTGTTTGAAACTGTTTACTTTTGTATAAAAAATTGAATATGGTATATTTAGGGCTTGAATGTTATTGATGTAAATTTTTGTTTGAAACTGTTTACTTTTATATAAAAAATTGAATGTGGTATCTTTAGAGCTTGAATGTGTCATCTTAGCAAAGATGGGACTCATTGTGAAGTTAGTTGCACAAAAAATTGACTAGCCCGTTACAGAGAGAAGGTTGGGATTATAGAGTTGTCATTTTTACAAAAAAACAATAAAAAAAAGATAAAATTAGAGAGATTCTTTATTCTCTACTGGCTGGAATTGTGTTGGTTTTGTTGTCAATTATGATATGAATAATCCATCATATTATTCTTGTTAACTTTAGTTCATTAAAAAATAATTATGTGTAGTTCTTGTTATTTGTAGGTTATATACCCCCAATAATATGCATACCTCCTGTTAAAATTTAATTGTAGTTCTTTGAAAAAAAATCTAATAGATTGCTAAACTTCCGCAAGTTTAAGGCTATTTTTAAGATGTTGTAATGCAATGTATAGAGTGTAAATTTTTACAAATATTGTGCAGGACAAAAGAAAATGGGTGATAACAGATTGGGTTATTGTATTTATGATGGAGAACTCCGAACAAGTGTCGATGGGATTTTGGATTATATTGGTGGTAATGCATGTACACTTATGATTGAGAGTAGTACTAGGTTAGATGACATGCGAAAATATGTAGCAGAACGCTTCTCATTTGACATCCACTTAATATCTTTAAGATACTTTGTCCCGAGAAATAAAATATTTATTGTGAACCTAGACAATGATGACGATATTATTAGGATGTTGAACGTCCATGAAGGTGAGAATGAAGTGTTTGTCTATATGTTTGATGGAAATAAACGTAGGAATAGAAGTACTTCACATAATACTATGACAGTCAAAGATGTCAGACCCCCACAATCCCCTAATGTTTTAGTCTGAGTTTCCGATCAAAGCATTGTACCAAAGTTGCTTAGTACATGGGAGAATGCACTTTTTAGGATATGGCAGCAATTTAAATTTTTAGAAGATTTTCGAGAAGCCCTTAGCAAGTTTGTTATAGCAAACCATTTCACTTAAAAATGAGGGGTATCGCATAAGGGCAAAATGCAAGGCTGAAGGATGCAAATGGGAGATGTATGCTGGGAAGCTTGGCAAGACGAATGTTTTCATAATCAATACATGGATAAGAGATCACTCATGCAATATTGAGACAAGCAGTGATGTATAGAGAAGAGCTTCACAAAAATTTGTTGCATCATTAATCAAGGATAAATTAAGTGACACTGCACATTACAAGGCTTGAGAAATCATGAGTGATTTGTCTCGAGATTATGGGTTAGAATTACCCTATTGGAAGGCTTGGCGAAGAAAAGAAACGGTCATAAAAGACACACATGGTTCGCAAGAAGAGGCATACAACCAATTACCAACATATGCAAATCATGTGATAGAGACAAATCCTGGTAGTTATGTGACAGGACAAGTATGGTCAGGTGATAGATTTCGTCGATTGTTCTTAAGTTTTTATAGGTCAATACATGGCTTCAAAAATGGATGTCGTCTACTTATATTTCTCGATAGGGCATTATTGAAGGCACGGTACCTTAGGACTCTACTTGCTGCCAACTCACTCGATGGGGAAGGGAAATGTTTCATGTTGCATTCGCAATTGTGGATGCCGAAATACAGATAACTGGTTATGGTTTATGGGATCGTTAAAGATTGCTATTGGGACGGATCGTGAAATTACTTTTTTATCAGATAGACACCCTAGTCTCATTGATATTGTGTGTCAAGTCTTTCATAATGCCCATCATGCCTTCTATGAGCGTCATTTAACGGAGAATTTCAAGAAAGAAGCAAAACACATACCTAATGATGTTAAGAAGAAATTGTATGTACCTTTATCAGTGCATGTAGAGCATATATGCAGCTAGAGTATTTTGATAAGATGATAGAAATTAGATCACTTTTTGAGGACGCATTCTAGTGGTTCATAGAAGCCTCACCAAACCGTTGAGCCACATCACAGTTCAAGGGTAATCGATATGACCAAGTAACAACTAATGTGGCTGAGTTATATAATAAGTGGATTCTAGAAGCACGAGATATGCTAATTCTCCAATGCGTTGACTTGATTAGAAGACAAATCATGGAATTAATGGCCAATCGCAGCTTGAAATCTAAAACTTGGACTACAACACTTACCCCAAAAGCACAAAACGAGCTAAAAAATGTCATAAAACAATTCATTTCCGTGAGAGTCACTGTGGCAACAAATGGAGCAGTTTATGAAGTTAGGGGTGATCGCATAAATTACAAGGTAAATATTATTACACGAGAATATGAATGTCGGGGTTGACAAATAACATGTTTGCCTTGCAAGCATGCTTGTAAAGCCCTTCAAGTAATGAATAGGGACTATTGTCAAGAATATTTCACAATTGCGAAATTTCGTGAAACATATTCCGTAGCTATCATGCCAATTACCTTAATCGACTTGTCTGTGCATGGTTTACGTGGACAACTTCATTTAGAGGGAGTAAAAGTACTTCCACCTCACTCAAGACGTCCCCTTGGCCGACTTAAAAAGAAGCGCATCGAGTCACATGAAGTACTAGTGCGACATATTCACTGTAGGCAGTGCAAAGGAACTGGTCATAACAGGGCAACTTGTAAAGCACACACTTGAAGGCATAAACTTTATTTACATTTTCTTTTCTTTTTAATTTGATTGTTGTAATTGTACTTATATTTGTGTTCATTTTGGTTAAAGAAGCATACTTTATTTACATTTTCTTTTCTTTTTGATTTGGTTGTTGTTATTGTACTCGTAGTTGTGTTCATTTTGGTTAAAGAAATGTACTTTATTTACATTTCCTTTTCTTTTTGATGTGATTGCTGTTATTTTACTTGTAGTTGTATTTATTTTGGTTAAAGAAGCATACTTTATTTACATTTCCTTTTTACTTGTAATTGTATTTATTTTTTGTTAAAGAAGCATAATTTCTCTTTACCAATTCATATGTTGTGCACATGTAAACTCTGATAATATAAATAGATAATAGTGATGCAAGACCCAGAACCGTCAAGTAGAACAAGGAGCGCATCCACTTCCTCCGATCAAAGGGAAAATGTATGATACTCAATTTTCTTTAGTTCATGATTTACATTAATTAGACAATTATTAAATTATTAATAAATATTGACATATTTTATTGAATCCATTTTAGAAGAAAAACAACATTCGTATTAATGAATCAACTAAGACCCTGGGAAAATGGGAGCTGGATCCACGACAGGTAGCTTTGATTGAAAAAAGCAATTTGATCTCCTTGAAAGACATCGGGGTTACACATATCGATTGCAGTTTACTGAGGGCCTTTATTGGAAAGTGGTGCAAGGTAACTAATACTTCATGGTTAACTGTTGGTGAGATGACTCCAACTCTGTACGATGTGTGGCACATATTACGGATACTTGTGATAGGCAAGCCTGTAACAGGCATAAGACCTAAAGACTACAAGGCTTTCATCATAGAGTTTTTGGGAAATTACCATATTGGTGATAAGTTGAACCGACTTAAACATACTTGGTTGAGGGCAAAATTTGAGCAACTACCGAAAAAACCTACCAAAATAAAATTGCTTCAACACACTAGAGCTTATCTATTGTATTTAGTCGGCACAACTATATTTGCTGATACATCTCAAGATTCGACACTGACAAGTTACCTGCAACTGTTCGGAGATCTCGATGAGGCAGAAAAGTATGCATGGGGAGCAACAACACTTACATTCTTGTATGGTTCCTTATCTAAGATTGTAGATGGGGATACACATTTTAGTGGGTCAACAACACTACTACAGGTAACTTGTAGTGTTGTTTATTGCTATATTTTTACATTCTAGTTATTTCTAGCTATTGTTTATTACTATATTTTTACATTGCAGCTATTTCTTTTGCAGCGTTGGATCTATGAGCATTTTCCAGCTCTAAGCAGCAAGCCTACAACTATCACTATAGAAATGCCTAGAGCTTCCAAATGGAAGAAACAACCACGTAAGAAAGATCCATTAACAACATTTGATGACATCTCAATTGACATGGTTTATGACTTGCTAGTGTATATATATGTAATTGTAGATAAATACAAATACAAATAAGTTCTAATTGTGTTTTGCGACAGTGTAGGTGACTTGGTAACCATATGACGAGTACAATCCACGAGATACACTAATTAAGGAAAATGCGTTGTGCCGGTCATATCTGATATGCTTCAACATTGCAGAGTTCTATATGTTTAATCGTGTAGTGCGACAATTTGAGATGATGCAAGCGATTCCTATTGGACCATACAAGTGGGATAGGAGGGAAAAGGTCGGCTTACATCCTACAAGTTGGATTGGCGAGTTGAGTGTCGAGATAAGTGACTGACGTCAACGAGAACACAACATTGTCAGGGCAGACATGGATAAATATGGTGGAATGCTTACAAATGAATATATGAGTTGGTACAACATGTTCACCCATGGATATCGAAATACTCCAATGTGCCCCCCCTCGCAGTCGCAATCGAGTTATAGAAATACTCCCATGTGCCTCCCCTCACAGTCACAATACCAATTACCCCCCCCCCTCGCAGTCACAATCCCAATTACCCCCCCTCGCAGGGCATATGTCCGAGAGGACATTGGTATATTATGTAATTTACGTATTTTCTTTTTTATTGACTTAATATGTTTTTCATTATCTACTTGCAGCGATTGGTCTGTATAGGGATACTGCAAGCTGCACTTAGGAGTGAAGTATTAACAGGTGAATCAAGACATTACGTACAAGCGGCACATGATTTGCTATTGCAAAATACTCCTATAGAGACAAATGCCGAGGAGAGGGTGGAGGGAGATAGTGGAAACGAGCGTGAAGAGAGAGATGGTGGAGATGATGAAAGCGATAGTGAGGAGAGAGACGGTGGAGATGATGAAAGCGTTAGCGCGGAGAGAGATGATGATAGAGATGAGGAAAGCGACTCTGAAGAGGAAGATGAGGAAAGCGAGACTAAGGAGGGAGATAAGGAAAGTGACGCTGACGAGGGAGATGAAACAAGATTAAACGAGATCAAGGCGGCATACAAGATCACAAAGAGATGGAGATATCCAGGCAGATGTAAAAGGAAATGGTATTACAAGCTGGCCAAAAAATGGTTAAGGTGAAGAAAGTGATTCAATTATATCTTTCAATTAATATGTATGTTTGTATTTTGAAATAGCTAGCTAATGAAATGTATCATTGTAATAGTTTTTGTACTTTGAAACTACTCTATCAAGTAGCCAGCTAATGAAATGTGCCCTTATATATATATATATGTGTGCGTGTGTGTCATCTTCTTGGCATCTTAAGTGGCTTCTGAGGACAAACATTGAAATCACAGGGATATATATATATCCCTGTGGGCTAATGTCCAACTTTTCAGGGTTTAGTGAGCTAATAATGAGCATCAAGTATGGGTTATTTGGATTGTATTCAAAAATTTAGCCAAAATTCCATTGCTGTAGAAGAATCTTTGAAAGTTAACAAAAAAAAAGTGATGTTTGAAAGAGAAGCAATTTGAAACCTTTGTGAAATTTTGTTGAGCTATAGCAATAACAATGAAATTTCTTCCGAGCTCCCACAGATATTTTATTCCGACTAAGATGGGAGCCATGGAAAAGCTTTTACAACTTCAAGACTCTGTTCCTTGCATGGTTCGAGCAAAACGTGGTTGTGCCACTCACTCAAGGAGCATTGCAGAAAGGGTATGCTTTGTATAATGTATGATTTCTTTGTTTCCATTTCATAACAAATTCTTCAAATATTTACAATGCTGATGATATGTCTCAGCATCAAATGACAATGTAAAAGAGTACTGCTTCACCTAGGAAGCTGTATATTCCTGCAGCTGGACAATCATTGAAATCACAGGGGTAGTCCGGTAATATATTGGGCCGCTCCAGCGATAATGAGGGGCAGTCCGGCACCTTAAAGGCACGGTCTGGCGATCACTAGGAGCAGGCTGGCACTTAATGGGGGCAGTCCGACACCTTAAAGGCGCGGTCTGGCGATCACTAGGAGCAGGCCGACACTTAATTGGGGCAGTCCGGCGAAAAGGTTGACTCAATCCGACAACTATTCGGGCAATACAACGTATGGTCAATTGAAAGACCGGTCCGACAATCCTCTAAGGGCACTCCGACATTTTGAGGCTTCGGTCCGACGTTTGTCTTAGGCAATCAGGTGATTGAACTCACTGGAAAATCCAATCCGGCACTTCAAAGGGGTAGTCCGGCGATATGCTCTGTCAGTCCAAAAATTCATGGGGGCAGTTCGGTGACTATATTAATGGAACACTCAGTCCGGCAATAAATAAGGTCAATCCGGCGTTTAAGGGCATCAGTCTGGCATTTAAGCTAGTGGCTCCGGTGATTATGGTCATTGGAATTTCTTGTACGGAGTTTTGGACAATCGGTCCAGCATTTATAGCATTCAATCCGGCGTTTTCTTTGTTCACTCTGGTGTTTGATCTCACTGGGAAAACCAATTCAGCGTTCTGTGGACATGTCTGGCGTTTCGTTTCATCAGTCCGACGAAAGAACTGTGCAGTCCGGTGTTAGAATCACTAGAACTGCCCCATTCCGGCGTAATAAGGGGCAGTCCGACATTTTGGTACATTAGTCTGGCGATTCTTTACATCATTCCGGCATTTTACATTACGACGAATTTGTTGGGCAGTCTGGCGATTCATATCACTAGAACTGCCCCAGTCCGGTGTTATCATGGACCAGACCGGCACTATATGCAGTCGAGTCCGACGTTTTCGTCACTAGAATTGCCCCGATCCGGCATTATGAGGAGAAGTTTGGTGCTTGGGTATGTCATTCTGGCATGTTTGTATTATAGTCTGGCTTTTTTCAATCCGACAGTTTTTTGGGGCAGTCCGGTGTTTTATGTCACTCGAGCTGCCCCAATCCGGCATGTTTTGGTGCAGTCCGGCATTTTATGGAGTTGTCCGGCGTTTTGTTTGTTACGGTCCGGATTTAAGTTTAATGGGACGCGAAAAAAAAAAAATTTGACCTACGGGAAGGGTATATTCGTCCGAAAAATACTTACTTTTGTGTTGGGGGGTTTTTTGTTAGAAAAGCTGGGTTTTAGAAAAAAATTAGTGAAAAAAGTTAACTTAGGGTTTAAGTTGATAGAGTACTTGATTTTGGAAGGGGGGTTTTATAATTTTCCCAAAAAAATATGTCAATGCTATAATTTATATTTTACATCATTTTTCCTTAATATTTTTTGTCACTTCTAGAGTATGAACGTTTTAAGTGTGTAAAATTTTTTATTAAATTTTTCATTGATTTTATAATTCTTACGTAGTATTTTCTATATAAAAACTCACTAATTTCCAAGAACTTTAATAATTTTAGTTACAAAGTTATATGTTTTAAAAAATTTTGTTTATGATTTCCTTTCAAATTTTATACTTGTAAACTTTGAAATATTTTTAAAATTAATTTTCATTTCAACAAAAGTTGGACATTAGTTTTATTTATTCTCTTAGTAATTTAGACCGTACTAAATTTTAAATACAAAACTATATTAAAAAATACTTAAAAAATATTTATATATACCATTAATAATTTTCAATTATTGTAAAAGCTGATACCCTATTCTCAAAAAAGAAAAAAAGAGACCAACTTTGCTTCCTTGTTTCTCTTTTCCAATCTTGCGAACTGTATATAGGTATTTTAGAAATATTTTTTTATTGTTATAATATTTTATATTTTTATTACCATATCTAATGATTTTCTAGATAATTTAAAGATGAATTATATTAGTTTCCCAACACCCTATTTTATAAATTTCCTTCTTAATTTATTTTAAATAAAGTCTAATAATCATTATGATACAACTACTTTTTATTTTAATATATTTAAACTGAAATTAAGTAGGTATCATATCCTATATTTAATGGTAACTCTGGTTATCATATGGGTGTTTATAATTTACTTTCTATTATAGCGCGGCTGGCATACGGATGCAACTGTAGTTGTAGAGGTAAAGTGCACCTTCAAATTTTATCATGGTATATAAATTTGATGTAAAATATTTTTAGGGTTACCTTAAAATCTATTTTTATATTTAATTATAAAATTTTAAATTTCAAAAATAGTTAAAATCAAGTAGATCTATAAAAATAAACAGCGTAGATAATAAAATAAACTATTTATGAGACTTAAAATCTTTTTATTTTGTATAGTTATACGTCTCGAGATGATCAATTAAAAGATTTTTCAACTTTAAAACTACCCTTTTTAATAGATTTTTGAGGTACATCCCTAGTGCTACATTATAAAGTTGCATCCGTATATAAACGTTTTCCTTTTATTCTTGTCATCTGTAATTTGTTTAAGACAAATCGGTATGTAAAAGATAAATCGGTATATTCATACGATAAATAGACATCGAATCTGTTCAGAGAAATCTGACATCGAGTGTGTTCAGATAAATATGACTCTTCACACTCTGAACTTCCGTAAGGACGTGTTTTGAACCGTGGTAATTTCTAGGGTTTTTCTTGTTAATTTAGGGTCTCTCTACATTGAGAGAGTGGCGGGTAGAGAAAGAGAAGGAGAGAGGCGGGTAGAGAGAGAAAGACAGGTTAATTTAGGGTTTCTCCCTACATTGAGAGAGGGCGGGTTAAGAGAGAAAGACAGAAGGTGGGGAGAGAGAGAAAAAAGCATTTTAATTTTTTAGAGAAGGCAGGTAGAGAGACAAAGACAAAGGGTAGGTAGAGAGAGAAAAAGCATTTTAATTATTTTTTTTACTTTTTTACTGGTGGTAAATAATTTTGGCGTATCTATCATTTTCCCTAAATTTATCCGCTTAAGAGTTCGCGCTCTCGTTTTCTTTTTGGGGCACAGGAAACTCTCGTTTCTCCTAAGTTTCATATTCTCTCATTTCAGAGTTGAAGAATATCACACCTGATTAATGGCGTCCTCAGTTTTAAGAGCCGCATCAGAAAGATTAGCGCCCTCTGCAAAACGCCAAGCCATAACTTTAACAGACACTGCAGCTTCAAGAATTCGCCAACTCCTGCAGCTGAGGCAACGCCCTTATCTTCGTCTTGGTGTAAAGGCTCGGGGTTGTAATGGCCTCTCTTACACTCTCAATTATGCAGGTTTCCGTTCGCAATCTTTTCCCCTTTTACTGTGTATTTATGCAGTTTTTCTTTGGTAATATTTTTCCCTTTTTCTGTGTATTTCTGCAGTTTTCCTTTTGCAATCTTTCCACTTTATCTGTGTATTTGTGGAGTTTTTCTTTCGCAATATTTTCCCCTTTTTCTTATGCAGGTCTTCTTTTACAATCTTTTCCGCTTGTCATGTGAAATTTTATTGCGTATATGCTTCTGGTTTGTATTGTTTTCTTTCGTCTGTAATCTTGTTTTTGAATGGATGATTTGTGAGAATATCTGGTGAATCCTAGGCTGTTTTGGGAGAGAAATGAAAGATACTTTGGAGATTGAAGGGAATTAACTGGACTCAAGTTTAACCATTTTTTTAGATGAGATATCAATTTTTGTTCTATATTGTGTTTATATGAATTTTATCTTCATCGTGCTGATTATCTTGCATTAGTATTTGAAATTTCATTTTCAAGTTTTGAATATGGATCCAGAAGCTCGTATGTTCCAATTTTTCTTTGCCAAAAATGAGTTCCGTTTTGCAAAAATTGGGGTTTTTTGTGAATGAAGCTATAAGATGAAACTGACATAATCTCACTTTTTTCATTTAGTTTTCTCTGAAATATACCCTTTTCTTGGTTGCTTCTTTCTATTATTTCTGTAATTTTTTTCGTGAATTGTATCTGGCTTTTTCAAAAACATGGTGATTCCTAGTTTACCTTGTGCAAGAATGAATCAAAAGGTGGTCGTTGATGGAATTAAGATATTTATTACATAACTGCATTAATGTCTTCTTTGATATGCTTCATTTCTTCTTTGATATGCTCTGTATCTTACATTATTTTTGGAGAAATATCCTCTCAAACATATGATGCATAATTTGTGTGGATACATGGAAACACCTTGGATGCTGCTTCATCTTGGTCAAGAGGTTGAAAAAGCCGAGTTACAAAGAGCGAATGAATTATTGTTAAGTAACTGCATTTAATATGCTTTTTTGTTTATAGAGCTATGCATGTCTGTTTTAAACCATGCAACATGGATGAAGCAATGGCACTTAGGATGCTCTATAGTTCTATAGGTGCACTTCATTTTTCAACGTCACTAGGTTTATTTTCTAAATTATTTAGGTGGCCTTTTAGGGAAGGAGGCTTCATTCAAATAATTCCAATTGGGAGATTAGAAATCTGTGAGTTTAGCAATATGAATTAGTATGGAGTGGTGAATCGCGTGGCCCATAAATTTATAGAGAGTAGGTACTTTTAGCCTTCATATCCATAACAACCAGGTGTTCAGTAACATCCTTCGAACTCTGGTTATTAACTATCGACCCATGATTCCTCGACTCAGATGCGAATGTGGGGTCGGGTACGAAGAGCGGTGATACGACTCTGTATTTTCAAAATCTTGGGTATCAATAGAATATGAGCATCCTATTTGACATAACAAATCATCATCATCCCAGCTTTATCCCAATTAATTGGGGTCGGCTACATGAATTTTGTTTCTCCATTCTTCTCTATCAAGTACCATATCTTAAGTATGATAAAAAAAGTCACCATATTTTTTCTTAGTACCTCTATCCATGTCCTTTTGGGCATTCCCCTTGCCGTTTACACCAAATCGCACTTCGTAACTAGTGTTGTATTAGGTCTACGCTGCACATGGCCAGCCCACCTAAGCCTACTTTCCCCAATCTTATCGCCTAGTGAAGCGACACCTAAGTTCAGTTCAGTCTTCCAAAACTGCTCGGCGGTGCCTAGGCGGCCGGGGGGGTCCAGGCCACTTAGTGCCCAGGTGCCCTAGGTAGATTTAAAAGCATCGGAGATCCAATTGTTTTAGGATTAGATTTTGTGTAACTAAAAAATGCATATTGATACGTATAACACATTAAGGATGCATAATATATAGTCCATCCGTAGTCCATTACTCCACAATTCCATATATTTCAAATTCAAAGTTCAAAGTTCAAACCATTCGACATTAGACCATACTCCCTAGACCATACTCCATAGTCCATGCCATTGTCCGAACTCCATGCACAAAAATAGGATAATATAATCCAAGACATCGATTCATCATCAAGAAAAGGAAATAAATAACACATAGGGCATATCAAATGTCCATGGTTCATAACATATACACTCCTCCATACTCCATATCCGTAGTTCATACATAGTTACATACACATAACTAAGAGGACGAAAAGAAAAAGGAAAGAAATTGACTTTGAAGACTCAAAGAATCCTCAATCATTAGTCATCATCAGAAAAAGCAGGGTCATATGCATTGGAGTCGTGCCCATCATGATTAGAATCATCTCCCTCCTCAACATGATGGTTTTCCGCTTTTGTCTCTTCTGAATCTGCCTCTACACCCTCTTCTTCTGTGAAGAAGATCTAGTGGCCCTAGGACGGTCAGCTATTGTCCCTAAGGCCTCCATGACCATATTCCATGTCAATCCTTCATGTCCCTCGACCTCATCATCATCAACCAACCACTCCATGGCATTATCCATATTTGCTTATCTGAGGGGGTCTCTCTTATCTCTCTTAGCAAACCTCTCCTTCAAATATCGATTGTACTTCACATAAACTTGGTCATTGAGCCTCTTTAATTCAAGTATGCTTCGTTTCTTTGTATGAATCTAATAAAATCAAATGAAAATAATTAATAATTTAATATAGTACCACAAATTCACAATTGACAATAGTAATCAGTAATTTCTAAACTTGGTCATTGAGCCTCTTTGATTCAAGCCTGTTTCGTTTCTTTGTATGAATCTAATAAAATTAAATGAAAGTAATTAATAATTTATTTTTTGAATAAGTTAGTGATTGTATTAATACAAAGGAACTAACTAATAATTTATTATAATCCTACAAATTTACAATTGACATAGTAATCAGTATTTATTAACTAGTAACTACGAATACAAATTAGTAAACTGTAAAATAGTAATATACACCAATTCCGCTCATAGACGGGCGAGGTAATAGTTAGGCTGAAAATCCGAATGGCCAACTTTTATAAGTATGAAGCAATAGACGGGCGAGGTAATAGTTAGGCTGAAGATCCAAATGGCCAACTTTTATAAGTATGAAGCACTACACCTGTGTTGGCTCCACCAGTTGGCTGCAAATTGATCATGAATCTCTATTATTTGTAAAAGATAAAATTATAGATACCCCCCCAAAATCAACTTTTTACACATCCTACCCCCAATACTTTTTGTATTATACCCTAAACCCCAACACTATTTTTCCTTATATTTACCCCCTAATAAAAAAGTCAATGAGTTTTTGGACAAAATTGCCCTTTTTCTCTTTCTTCCCCTTTTCTCTCTCTTTTTCTCTCTACTTGTTTCTCTCTCTACCCTCCCTCACTCTTTCTCTCTACTTGTTTCTCTCTCTACCTTCCCTCACTCTTTCTCTCTCCATTTTTTTATGCTGTCTGGCACACTCTTTGTTAGACCGAAATTTTTTTTAGCGATTCGGCACAAAAACGTGCTAGACCATAAAAAAATTTTAGTCTGGCAAGGAGTGTGCTAGACTGCATAATTTCTAAGAACTTTACCTCTTGTCAATAATGCGGTCCCGCACACTACTTGCTAGACCGCATAAAAAAATGGAAAGAGAAAGAGTGAGGGTGGGCAGAGAGAAACAAGTGGATAGAGAAAGAGAGAGGATGGGTGGAGAGAGGTAGAGAGGGAATAAAGAGAGATAAAAGGAGAAAAACGACAATTTTGCCCCAAAACTCATTGACTTTTTTATTGGGGGGTAAATACAAGGAAAAATAGTATTGGGGTTTATGTTATAGTACAAAAAGTATTGGGGGGTAGGATGTGTAGAAAGTTGATATTGGGGGGGTATCTATAATTTTCCCAAATATAAAAAACAAACAACAAATATGAAACTTGAACTTGAGGATTGGGTTATGTATATTATTAAGTGGATCAAGTTTGGCCTTTGTCTCACCGCCATTGGACTCCCAAAAAACTTCAATGCGCACTTGTAACTTACCAGCTCGTCAGAGCATATAATGTCTTAGATATCCTGATTAGGGACTAGCACATCCGGACACTTATTAATCTAGTAATTATTGTGTTATTTGAGTGTATACCCCATCAACATAATAAAAAGTTGGGGTTTAAAAAATAACCAGCTACATGCAATGATCGATGTAGCTACCTATCCCACTTCTTATCAATAATCTTCCAAATTGACTCATAGCGATTCACATCATCATCCAAGTTATGCACTCTCTGTCGTTTGCAACTTTCCATTGCCTCATATATGTAGCCCATGGACGGCTTGTCGTTGTCAGCCAGGCGAAGGACTTTGACGAGAGGAAAACATACCTTAAGAGCGCCCTTCACCCCTCGCCAGAAAAGCCTTAGAAAGGACAATATCTCCCGCCTTCTTCCTTTTATAATCCCTGACCCACTTGCATGCACTCCAATCATCAGAGGTAAACATCTATCTCAACTGGACTCTCCTCGAATTATGTTATCAAGACATACAGGTAGCAAATCTCGTGATCTTGGGCCTCACAATCTCCTCCTTTGTAAATATGCGCATCATGTAGGCCATAAATGAAAGTCGTAACTGACCTAGCCTTCTTAACTGCACCTACAATCTCGGTTAAACCGTAATAGCCTCAAGCATGAGGTCTATACAGTTGTTTCTCATGGTGTCCAAATGATATTAGGATAGGCTATGCACAACAAATTAGCAGTAGCAATATAAGGAGCATTGTTATCTATGACAATGTGTATAACATGCTGCTCCCCAACCTCCTTGATGCTCTTCTCCATGACTTTAAATATGTAATGGGCATCATGGCTATCATCAAAGGCATCAGTACACCTCAAAAATGTTGTCCTTAAAGAACAATTCGCCAACAAATTCATGTAACTTCTTCTCTTACTATCACTCCAAGTATCAATCATAATAGATATGACTCCACAATCTCCCTTGTGACATTCAACTCTTTTT